TGTGTGTTTGGGTGTGGGTGCGCGCGCGGGCTTTTTTTTTTTTTTGTTATTTTGTTTGTCGCGACTGTCTTTCCTAGCGCCTGGCTTGAGCTCTGCGTGGCCTCGTTTCGCCTCCAGTGATGCGTCCAGGCCAAGAGACGTTTCTACGCTGAGATCTCCAGGCTCACCAGAGGAAAGGAGGCGATAAACTGCTAGCTGGTTTGCTGGCTGGCTGCGGGTCAGTCAGAGCGCAATTACTGTGGGCAGTAGTACTCTGGGCAGTAGAAGGAGCCGAGAGAGGAGCGGGCGGCCGTCGGACCAGCAGGATGTACACGGCCGGACTGGCCCCCTTCTATGCTTCCAACTTCAGTCTGTGGTCAGCGGCGTATTGTAGCCCGGCGGGCCCCGGCGCTGGCGGCTGTTTTTCCTTGGATCCCTCAGGGCTCAAGAAACCGTCTTTCTGCATCGCGGATATTTTACACGCCGCCGCAGGAGAAGCCTCCGTTGACGGCCTGCCCGGAGGACCCGCGGCTAACCTGGCCTCCCATTTAGGGGGAATCCATGCCCACGCACAGTTCCACGCCGCCGCTTCTCCGCTCAGACCTACCCCCGTGGTGGTCCCGGACACGTCAGTCGCCTTCGCCACTAGGCTGTCACCGCTCTCGGCTACCTACCACCACTCTCACCCTCAGCACCAGCGCTCTCCCACAGGGGGCTCCGGCGGAGGGGCACGAACCCCGGGCGGAGGGCAAAGCCGCCAGACGCACCCTGGCTCTGCTGCCGCTCCCTCTAGCAAAGACTTGAAATTTGGGATTGATCGCATTTTGTCTGCCGAGTTCGATCCGAAACTCAAGGAGAGCAACACGCTGAGAGGTTGGCTTTTTGCTTTCCCCTCCCTCCTAGAGAACTGTTCTGTTAAACTGTATGTGGATTCTCTCTCTCTCTCTCTCTCTCTCTCTCTGTGTGTGTGTGTGTGTGTGTGTGTGTGTTGTGGGTATAGACAGAGAAGCAGCGCTCCTTTCCTTGGAGTCTGAGCGGAATAGGCGAACCCCTCCGGTTCTTTCGATGGACCGTGCTCTTTATTTGAAGGCTGATTATATATAACTTTCCCAGTTCAACTGGCAGATCGTCCCTGTGCAGTCCTGCTATGAAGTTGCAGATTCTTACGACCCGCAGGGAGGGTGGGTTGAAGTGGGGAAAAGAGTTTACAGAAGGGCCCGTTTTTCTAATCTTCCTTCACTTATTAATGGCCAAACCTTTAGATTAAGTGGAAAAAACACACCTCTGATTGTAATCAAGTGTAATTTGAAAAATCAGCCCTTTCCAGAATTGGGGGAAGGAACCCAACACGGCTGTGATATTTCTGTTGTTGCTCAATGGAACAAACAGTTGAGCAACTGGATTGCTTAAAGATTCAGAAATCTTTGGAAGATATTCAGGCCAGAGTCTCCATCCAGAATGTATTTACTTGGAAGTAAATCCCGTTGATTTGGACATTGTGATTCTGAACTACTTGAGTGGCTTTCCTCTACGGTCAGTGTGTCTGAATTGTCCTTACATGTAGGCTTGTTGTCTGACCCCAAAGTTGGGAGTTAGTCCTCCTTCAAGTAAATGGGGTTTACTTCTGAGTAAGCATTTGTAGCTTTGCACTGCCCACCATTAATTAATGAATTTATTAATCTGCGCATTGGAAGTGGGAGCAACCAATCTCTCTCAGTGAGCAAAGTCACCCCGTTATTGCCTATGGTGAGCAAATTTATGACTCAAAGGAAAACAATCTCTGATTGCACTTAATGTTAAATAACTGCCCAAGAAAGCTTTATTTACCAGGAGATAGATAGATAGATAGATAGATAGATAGATAGATAGATAGATAGATAGATGTAATTTACTTGTAAGATCACATCAAAGCCCCTTTCTGCCAAAAAAACTGAGTTTGGATTTTCGGGGTGGAGGGCCTGAGCCTCCACATGGCGAAAGCCAGTCCCTTGTACCTGTTGCTGAGCTCCCATGGGCCCGGTGGTTGTTCTTACCTACCAAATAAATCAGTCTGTTGGTCCCTTTGCATGCAAATTTAGAGGTGTTTGGTTGAAGAAGGTACTGGGTCAAGCAAGGAAGAATGGTCTAAAGGTATGTTAGAAACATGAATTGCCCTTTTACTCTCAATGTGGCTATTTCGCATTTGTAAAAAGGAAGAAGAGCAGCTTAAGCTCTAGAGGTCATTGGCTGTAGAAATACCTTACATTGGCTACCCTCCCTGAAATAATGCAGGGTTTGACCCCTTCAATCTTCCTTTGTTTCTCCCCTTCCCTCCACCTATCCTTGGAGTGGGGGAGAGTTACCCAAACCAGGTCCTCGCCACTGCGATACAAATGGCTTCATTAACTGGGAAGTGTAACTGGGAAGTAAATGCCCCTACGACCATCCATCCGGTGTCTGACATGTGGCATCTAAGGCCAAAAGAGGCAGCTGGAGAGGTTGTCTGAGAGGTTCTCCCCTGTTTGGGCCTACCTTGCCACCTGAGGAGTGAAGGCTGCGGAGCCAGGATTACTCAGAACAGGATCCCATTCCCATTGATTTCAACAGGGCGAACTCCCAAGTTATGAGGGTGTAGGATTTCAGCCTTCCTGGAATGGAGTTGGACTGGTTTCTGAGTTTGGTTTTGGTCTTGGATGAGGAGCACATGCTATGATCCTTGCGGTGGCGTTAGTGTGTGGAGGAGCTTGTCAGCTTCAGGTCCGAGGAGGCCTCCATGCCGTTGCACAAGGCCTCAGAGCGTCCCCTCTCCCTTCAGGCTACCAGGGTTTGCCAGAAGTGGGCTAGAGGGGGTCGGGCTGCTGTGGTTCGCTTGAGGACCTGCGCCGTTCTGCTCACCTTGTAACAGAGCTCTCCTTGTTCCTGTGCCCACAGATCTGACCTCTTTATTAACCGCCAGCCGCCCAAGCGGGGTTCATGTCCCCACCTTACAGTCTCCGGCCGGCCAGTTCTTCACGCCTCTAGAACCCATTAACGAGACCTCCGGGGTCCTGGGACCCTTAAATACAACCCCAAGGAATTCCGTTCAACACCAGTTTCAAGACACTTTTCCAGGTATAAAAACTCATCCTGGGCACGGATCAATCCCTCTCTGCCACTCCCAAAGTGAGAGTGAACCTGGTAACCTTCTGGTGTTCCCATCATTCCCAGACAATGTGGCACTTTTCCTGGCTGGAATTTAGTCCCTTTGGAGGGCACCCGGTTGGGGAAGGTAGATCAGTTTTTTCAAGGGTTGCTTTCTTACCCACTTTTTCTCTTGGAATAAGGATCATGGGTATTACTTCAAAGTAAGCCTATGGAAGGCGCGGCGCTTGCAATTAGGATCCTCAGCACCGGATCCTAAGCACATTATTTGTTTCAGCAGAACTTACTTCCATACAAACGGATCCTGATTATGGATGGCCCCTTTGACAAGCAAAAAGACGCTCAACCTTAATCATAGGTGGGAAAGAAGGAGCGAACGAAAGACTCCGTTTCTTTGCGCCTGACTTAGCTGACACCCTCTCTGGGCTGTTGCTATGGAAGCCTCGGATTGTTAACACGGCCACGAAATCTAGCACGTCTGGGAAATCGAGGGTAGTAGGGCGCTCACTTTCAAGGAGAATCAACGCCCGGGAATCCTTGGAGGGGAGTTACACAGGCTAGAGACGCAGGAGCATAAGAGGATCCAAAGAAAGGAGGAGGACTTGCAGGGGCGGGCGGCGTTATTTCAGGCACAGCAGCGGCCGCAGCAGCGCAGGGTTCTTTTGCAACCACTAAAAGACAGGATTAGTGGTCCTTGACTACAGGAACGGAGCTATTCTTAGCAGCCGGCTCCTACTGGAGAGTTTCTTGGAAAGTTAGCCCCCTTGAACGCGCTTTCCTGCAGGCGGGGGCGGCTGGGATTCGACTTTTATCCGCTCACGATCAGCCCTTAAACGCCTCTCTCTTCCTCTTCTTTTGTTCAACCCTCCAGGTCCGTATGCGGTGCTTACGAAAGACACGCTGCCTCAGACCTACAAACGGAAACGCTCGTGGTCCCGAGCGGTTTTTTCTAATCTCCAAAGAAAAGGATTGGAGAAACGCTTTGAAATCCAGAAATATGTCACCAAACCGGACAGAAAACAATTGGCCGCCATGTTGGGGCTCACAGATGCGCAAGTAAGCATTTAAAAACAACAACAACAGTTTGACTAATTTATCCGTAGCCCCAATCCCCATTGAGCATTTAGCTGAGTCTCTGCTAGAACATCTATTACAAATCCTATTCTTGCTCAGGCTGTTACTTGTTAAAGTTTATAGGCTATTTTTTTAAAAAAGCAAAGGAAATCTCCCTCTCCTCTTAACAAAGAAATAAAACCCACATACCTCTGTATGTAATAGGCAACAAATAGACTCACCCACTTCATCTCTCATGTGCAATACACACACACACAGACACACAGACACACAGAGCACAAGTGTCTTGTGGTATCCTGATTTCTTACCCACTGGGCATACAAATGTTTCCCGAGGAGGAACTTATCTCACAGAGTGGTTCTAGTATATTACTGAAAGTGTTTTCATTATTCCTCGGCTTATTCCAAAGTAACTCCCTCTGGTGGGATTCACACAACAGCCTCACAGCCATAACATTAACCCAGCTCGGTTGGCGAAACACACAGAGCCATCAGCTAAACCATCGGGCCACGTTTGCACAGCAGAGCAAGGCATAAACAATATTTAATCAAGTATAGCATGTTATGTGAATGCAGCCCCTGAGATTTTGCCTGACTTGGTTAAGCCTCTTGGGTGATGCTTGAATTCAGGAAACTGGTTATAAAATGGGGGTCTTATATGCCTGGTTAACGTCTTTGTCCATATTTGAAAAAGCTGAAACTCAACCTCCCAAACTTGCCATCTAAGGCTGCAGTCCAGTCTGCGTGCCCTTACTGAACAAAGTGTATGTTCACACAACAGTCTTAACCACATCCCTTACAAATCAAGCAGCTGTATTAGCTAGCATGTTAAAACTAGTTAATTTTAACCTCGATTAGATTTTGTATGTCTGGAAGTGTGTACGTGATGGAGTGTTGTGTAACCTGGCTCCTTTGTGGAGTATTGGGGAGCTGAAAATATAGGTTAATTAAATAAGCTGTTAGACTGGGTAGATTTTGCTGGTAGAAGTTGGTTTAAGTGGAGGGTGTTTTGCACGTGGGAGAGGCAGCTGCAGGGCAGAAAAGAACAACTCGACTGCCCCTGTGTCTCCCCCCCCCCCCCCGACGTACGGAAACTTGTGGTCGACAGACGACA